CACGGAGCCAGATAAAACGGTCTGATTTCAGTCCAGAAAAGGAAGTGGTTTAAGATCAGCGAGAGGGTTGTGTTGAGAAGTGTGGGGCACACAGCTTGTGGGCTGGGCGATGTGGACGCAGTAGACGAAGGAAACCTGTAAAACGGTTTTCAGTAAAAAGGAACAAGTGGTTCAAGATTAGCGAGGGGAGGCTGCTTGAGAAGTGTGGGACATACATGCTGTGGGAGAAGCCTGCATGGAGCCATACCAAGTGATCTATAAAACGGTCTGAGTTCACTCCAGAAAAGGGAATTAGTGGTTCAAGATAAGCGAGGGGTTGCTGGTTGAGAAGGGTAGGACATACAAGTTGTGGGGGGAGCCTGCACGGAGCCAGATAAAACGGTCTGATTTCAGTCCAGAAAAGGAAGTGGTTTAAGATCAGCGAGGGGTTGTGTTGAGAAGTGTGGGGCACACAGCTTGTGGGCTGGGCGATGTGGACGCAGTCAGACGAAGAAATCTTTAAAACGGTCTGAGTTCACTTCAGAAAGGGAATTAGTGGTTCAAGATAAGCGAGGGGTTGCTGGTTGAGAAGGGTAGGACATACACGTTGTGGGATTAGCCTGCACGGAGCCAGATAAAACGGTCTGATTTCAGTCCAGAAAAGGAAGTGGTTTAAGATCAGCGAGAGGTTGTGTTGAGAAGTGTGGGGCATACAGCTTGTGGGCTGGGCGATGTGGACGAAGTCATACGAATAGTTCTGTAAAACGGTCTTAGTTCACTCCAGAAAAGAATATGAATTAAGATCAGCGAGGGGTGGCTGGTTGAGAAGTGTGGGACATACATGCTGTGGGAGAAGCCTGCTTGTGGGCTGGGCGGCGTGGACGCAGTCAGACGAAGGAATTTGTAAAACGGTCTTAATTCACTGCAGAAAAGGAACAAATGGTTCAAGATTAGCGAGGGGCGGCTGCTTGAGAAGTGTGGGAGATATAGCTTGTGGGCTATTCGATTTGGACGCAGTCAGACGAAGAAATCTGTAAAACGTTAACTTCAGAAAGGATTAGGTGGATTATATTCAGCGAGGGGTGGCTGATTGAGAAGTGCGGGACATACATGCTGTGGGGGGACTGCACGGAGCCATATAAAACGGTCTGAGTTCACCAGAAAAGGAATAAGTGGATTAAGATCAGCGAGGGGTGGCTGGTTTAGAAATGTGGGAGATTCAGCCTGTAGGCTGGGCGATGTGGACGGAGGCAGAAGAAAATCTGTAAAACGGTATTAGTTTACTCCAGACACCGAAGAAAAGTGGACTATGGCGTCGAAAGTTGGCGGTGCCGCAGAAGAGAACTCATAGCAAGCTTCCGGAGCGTCCCAGATATAGGGGAAAAGTGGAATGAAGTCAGCAAGGGGTTGTCAGACTAACTAGGAGAGACATACCCGAAATAGACGGGGCGTTCTTGAGATAGGCGGTGTTTCCTACAGAGTTCACTACTCGGCTCCCGAGATAATTCACAAATTACAACAAAATGTGTAAGAGGGCAACGTCAGGGTAGAGTTTGGCATGCCTGAGGTGTGTTAACACGTTGGCGAATTGCTTCCCAATGCTGGGACGCACCTTTTTTGCCGCGTGGAACATTGTCAAATTTTCAACAACCACCTATTGTGCAGGCGGGCATTGAAGAATATACAGTAGCTGTAAACCATGCTGTTGTCTCATTGGAAGTATTTAACCGGGGAAACAAAAAAGTGGTTTTTTTAAGAAAAAAAAATGTAATTTTTAGTCGTATGGAACTGAAGCTTCACATACTGTTAGCTAATGTAATAAGGTAACTTTCATTGATGGCCGTCTAGATCGAGTTCGAATTTGTCACCTCTGAGCGAAAATATTCCTTTTTTGCGACCTTGTTCCCACGCTCCACGTGAATGAGGCGGGAGTATTCCATGAAATTTAGGGTTTATCTTGAAAGTAAACAAAAACAGCGAAGCCTTGCCAGCTTCTGCATTGAATTCTGTTCTCTTGAATTGTTTTGGTGTATAAGCGCCCTAGCGTTGCGCATTCTTCGAAAATAGGGAAAAACTGCTTGGTCCCACGCGGCAGACACGGAAGGCGTCCTTGTCGCCAGTGTATTGAGACCCGCCCACAGTGGGCGGAGCTTGCTCTCAATCATAGGGTGCCCATTTCAAAAATTTGTAGCTTGGTTCCAGAGCACTCCAGAAACCGGAAAAAAGGATTAAGATCAGGAGAGGGTCGTAGGTCAAGAAATGTGGGACACATATGTTGTGGGCGGTGCCAGCTCCGAGGTGGGCGGAGACAGACAAAAGCTCTGTGAAACGGTTCCAGAGCACTCTAGAGACGGGAAAAAAGTGGATCGGGCTTTCGACATCATTACTGTCTATAAAATGGTGGTAGCAGCCTTCCAAGTGACACAAGTGCGCTATGAGACAGAAACCGGGATATAGTTGAGCATTCAAACATACTGAGTAGGTGCGACGAAGCAAAGCAAAACCGGCAAAGCCTGGCCCTATCAGAAAAGGAGTCGCGCCGGCGTCAGCCAGCGAACCTGGAATCAAATGTTCGTGTGACAACAGGTGTTCAGAAGTGTGGCGACCTATGCACTAAACGCAGTGAAAATATGTACCCCGTGCTTGAGGACACGCTCCACCCACTGTGGGCTCAACACACCACAGACATACTCAACTCTCGCTATATTTTCTCTTCTCCAACAGTTTTTCCTGATTTCCAAGCTCACTCATATCCGATCCACGAAATTTTGCACAAAACTAGCGGTAACTTCATTGGGAACTGGGCGAAGTCAGATCTGTATCGGCCCTTTCAGTTGGCACACTCCTTAAAACGTTTTGAAAAACGGTGACCGCGCTGAGAAGTGGGCGGGACTTGCAGCAGTACCTAGTTTTGAGTTTTATAACTTTTTTCGACGTCGTTCTTTTCACATTCAATCTTCACAAAACGAATATACTAATAGCCATAGTGCATTTATACACTAGCACACTAAGCCCCGCCCCTCTGGCCACGCCCACTTGTGTTTTTCGTGAAATTTTGATTTTTCTTACGGATATCGCTTTTTTAGACTGCAGCAAGCTGGCTCCGCCCACTAATAGGAACTCCGCCCACTTTGCAGAAGGCCCGTTTACTTTTGAAAAATGATGGGATCGGCAGGCTAGAGCCCCATCATACAGAGTGAAAAAAATGCGGGGCTTCATTCCGAGTGACAAGAGAGGTCATAACCTGCCAATACGAACTCTAGCCATTTTTCACCACGACGTAACTTATCGGCGATTTGTTGCAGAAACTTTTTTGCGCTGAAATCGTTGTCAACGCACACTGGGCTGTTTAGCGGCATACTGACGCCAAATGGCCTCGGCGCGTCAAATAAGCGTCGGAATGGTGATTATGGCCATCAGTTACCTCTGTATACGAACTGACCTACTAAAATTTACAGTTGTTAACTACTAGTAAATAGAAAGGTCCAGGTATCGAGGTTGGATAACGGCTTCTACAGGATACTGATAGCCACCAGTTCAACAAGACCTATCATCATAGCTCGAACAGCTCGAGGAGAAAAATTTCCCTGAAGCTCTGTATATAGGGGGTTATCAACGACATGATCACGTTTCTGATCTTTACAATTGGCGACGAGGCTATTTGGCGCTAGCATGACTTTGAATACCTCCCCCTTACGGGCGGGGTGGGATGCTGCGAGAATCACTTGAGAACTTCAATGCTACCTCACTGTAGGCCAATTAAGGTACTTTTCCATGGTGCTTTCGATACAGAGTTGAAGAAGGTCTTATTTGCTGTGCACACTGAACACCGGAAAGAAAATAGCTAAGAAAAAGGGCTCAAAATTGCCTTTTACTGTCAAATTTTTTGCACTCATTTTTTGGCATTCCCAGGAACGCATAGCAAAAACGAAACCCATTTTTGTGATCCTTATATGGACCCCTACAACATGCAACAAACCATTTCTAAAAAGCGCGCCACTATCTGAATGACCCCTTGTCAGTGTAGTACATTATCCTTGTGCGAATCTCATCCCTGCAATCGTGTTCAGTGTGGGGGGGAGGGACAAGGGACACTCCTACTTGTTGTGGAGAGAATTTCTATCCCATTCGTTGGTTTTCCCCGTTAGAACTCACTTTATATCCACTTTAGTCGATGGTGCTTCAAAACAAATATTTTCGATGGTTGGTTGAAGTTTGTACCCCGCTCCGTTCAAGTGCAAAATGTCAGAATCATCGGGTAAATTTAGGAAGATCGTGGATAGGTTATAAGATGGGGTCTTGATGAGACTGTCCTTTGGGAACTTGTACTGACGTTCCAACCATCCCGAATAAATATGTGCCGTAATGGTACTAGAAAGCTAATCGTGATGTACTTTCATTACTACTGAATCTTACCTCGCAATATTAACGAATGATTGGATGTCGGTTTAGTGTTGTAACTCATGAGTCCTGGTGTTCGTAATCTGAGGATGTGCCACTAACAGTGAACGAGGTCATCCCTACGTGTCGGTCATGGAATGTGACGTGTTCACTGCGAGCGTGGATCATTAGTCAATGCAGTCGACACGAGCCATGAGGCGCAGGGACAGAGCAGTTCTAAGTGGCACACAGTTATAGTCACCTTCGTACGCATTATATCACAAAGGACTTCGACATGTAAAGTGAAGAGACTTTGATAATATATGCGCATGACTTTTCTTCACTTTTCGTCAACCTTTTGCAAAATGCTAGGTGACACCTTCAACTCATATCAGAATCCTATGGAACCCACTACAAAACGGATATAAGTACTGGGCATTGATATTTTGTTTATATTGCTTGCCTGAGAGATGACTTGTTCTAGCGCTAGAACTGGATTCATTCGATGGTCGCCGTGATCCTGAGAGATGCAACGCTCTCGTTAATAAGCTCAGAATTTCCCAGGACAGGGTTCTCCATATTATAGGTAAGTTTTCGAGCATTTCAACGCAGTAATGCAAGTGAGCTTCTTTTAAGGAGAAATGCTGATGACTGTTTATCCGCGCGAGTCGGATCGTGCATGCAGAGATTTTCGCGTTAAGTTCCCTGACGAGATAATTCATGACAGCCTCCCAGGACAGCTGTGGTTTGGGGCCGAGGTTAGCCAACATCTTCATACCGTTTATGGTGCAACTGATGACTGACTAAGAAAAGGAAGACTGGATATAGGTTGTTTTGTTATGATAACTGCTGTTTAACGCCGCAGTACGTTCCGAATGTTATCACAAGAATGCTGAGTTGTGGGCAAAAGTCGTGCCCCAGGCGGGAGTCGAACCCGCACCTCACGCTTTCCGGGCGAGTGCGCTATCCGTTACGCCACCAGGGCCGCTTTTACCCTCTCAGCTTAACGGCTTTTATGCCGTAGCCTTACAGCACTCACACGTTTAACTTGGTGAGCCGGTCAGCCGTAATCGTTAGATATCGGCATGGAACCGCAAGGCCGAAGGCTTTACAAGTTTTTGAAGCTGTTTTGTTATGATAACTGCTGTTTAACGCCGCAGTACGCGTTCCGAATGTTATCACAAGAATGCTGAGTTGTGGGCAAAAGTCGTGCCCCAGGCGGGAGTCGAACCCGCACCTCACGCTTTCCGGGCGAGTGCGCTATCCGTTACGCCACCAGGGCCGCTTTTACCCTCTCAGCTCAACGGCTTTTATGCCGTAGCCTATCAGCACTCACACGTTTAACTTACGCCACACGGCCCTGGTGGCGTAACGGATAGCGCACTCGCCCGGAAAGCGTGAGGTGCGGGTTCGACTCCCGCCTGGGGCACGACTTTTGCCCACAACTCAGCATTCTTGTGATAACAGGATATACAGGGGGGGGGGCAAAAAAAGTCACTTTTCTTCATTGACTTTCGAGGCGCTATAAGTTACACTTTATAAATTCTGATCGGACATTTCTACCACCATATTAAAGAGCATATTAAATACTATTATGACACTCCGCCACAGCCTTCTGGACGAGCGCCATCGAGAGATTCTGGCACGCATGTGGTGCCTGAGATCAGCGAGATAGTCGATTTCTCCGCCACCGTAGACCACCCTATTGAACTCCGCCCGAACCGGGTAATTGAGGGGATTCAGGTCAGGTGACCTACTTGGATATTCCATCTTCTTCAGGTACTCAACCCCCTTCCATTCCAAGTAGGCAAGAGTTTTCCCAACGCCCTTTGATTCCATGTGGTGTCACCCAATCCTGTAGCAGTACAAAGTTTCCAAGAAGGTACGGCGACGACATGTGGGAGGATATTCTTCTCGAGTTGCTCGATGTAACCGCCAGCGCACCTTCAGTCCGGGTCCACGAAGAAAATATCGGTCTTTCCATTCCAGGTACGTCCGGTCCATACCATCAACCCGCGCCTTGGCGACTGTGGTGAAGATGATGTCCTAGACCGTAGCGACGTTGTCGGAGCTGCTCGATGTTGGAGGTCTTCCAGATTGAGAGTACTGTCTCCAGGTAGCTACCCATGGGTGACACTAGAAGTTTCGCAGCTGTTTGGAGGTGACATGAATTCCAAAGGTCTTCTCCAGTCAGGCTGCGACTGGAGATGACTTCATATTTTGGTGTACATGAAGGTGATGGGCGAGGGCCAGCTCCTGCTTATCGAGGAACATCTTGGGTATCTTCCGCCCTGGTACTCGTATCCACATCTTCTCTCTGGGCTGCAAAAACTTTGCTGATATGTGACTCGGTCGAAGTGACTTTTTTGCCCTCCCCCTATAGGCTTTTTCTACGTATGTACCGGTGTAAAAATAACCTTACATTAATTCTGAGGAAAAAAAACATGCTTCGTCACTGTACCAAGTTTCACAGAATCTATCTTCTAACAAATACCTTTCATGCCAGATTTCCATTACTATTTCTATTTGGTTCCGTGTTCCATGATCCTGTCTCCCAACATAGGTCAAGCATGAGCTATGCTGAGCCATCTAGGTTGATCAGGATCTACAATAGAGAGCATGGTATAAAAATAGTAGCAGCTGAGGTGGAGGAATTGAAATATTATTAAACATTACACTACTCTAATACCGTTGGGAAACAGTGAACATGCCAAGCAAAATCAAAATTTGCCTGCTATTGTAATGTTACCGCATTACAATAGCAGGCAAATTTTGATTACGGAGGCAAACCCATACTGGATGCGCATAGATTCAGTGGGCGGCGCCTTCTACAAAAGGTCTAAAAGCGTAATTCTGTCCCAAAGGGCCCGGGAGTGGGAAATGTAGGAGACTATAGGGAAACAGTAGTGGACGAGATGAGGTAGGCAAAGTTTCGGTATTCGCAGCATACTGTAAGTGAGCTATTCGTGCAACCAGAATTTCGAAATTTCCTAGTTTGGCTCCAGAGGAGCCTGAAGCGTGGGAAGTGTAAAAAAAAACGATAGGAAATAAGCAGACATACGGGGTGAGGGAACTGAACACACTATGGACCAGGTCTGTATAAGTGGGCGGCGCGTGCTGCAAGAATTCGAAAAACTCTTTATTCGGTCCTAGAAGAGCCTGAGGTGCGGGAAGTGGGAAACGGTAGGATGTAGAGAAGGAGAGGATAGGAAGTGAGCGGGCGGGTCAGATGAGGAAGGCAAACTCAGAATGGACCAGGCGTGCTATTTGTGGGCGGCGCGTGCAGCAAT